TCTACCTTCTAACTTCCATCTATCAGTGTCTGGCTCTGTAATCATCCTGATTACTATGTTTAAAACCACCAAGAGCTTTAACTTCTTCTTTCTTGTCTTGTATAGGGAGTCAAGCCCTAGTCAAATACCATTCATTGCACTCATAAAGGAGCTCCCCCTTTTCCTCTCTTATTTCACTGGTTCTGAGTTTATTCCAATAGTCTCTTACCTCACCTATTGGAATGGTGTCTTTGTTGATTGCAATGACTATAACAGATCTTTCTAAAACAGGGCTTTGATAATTCTGTTCCCTTGCCCATTAATTATTAATATAGTATAATAGTCTGAAAAATCAAATCCAAATCTAATGTATCTGGTACATTACCTCTGCCCCCATAGTGACCTGGGCCAACTTACTACTTTCCTAAATTTGTCCTCTTTGGAATAAAACTAACATCATAACATCATGGACTTTCTCTCTGTGTTGAAGAAATAGCTTCTCCAACACAAAGACCAGATTTGTGGGAACAGATTTTACCCCTAAAATCAGCCAGCTCTTTTAGAAACTATTTCTCAGAATCATAAGGGAATTGAACACGAGAAATAAACTCAAATTTGTTGCTATAACTGAAAAAATTACCAATAGTCTATTTCTTCTGGATAGTTTAAAATTAGCTTTTAGTATAATAATGTGAGTTATTTAATGTAAGGGAGTACAGCACACGTGTCCACAAAGTACCTTGTTTCTTATTTTATGTATCATTATTATTATCAAGCATACATGCAGACTCATGCCTTATGTAATCTCTTAACTGCCTCTCTGTTAACACCAAGCATCCTAGATGTGACCTGAAGGAAAGCAATTAGTTACCTTTACATACAAGTGACTGTGAAGTGAGCCTGTGCCTCCTCCACTAACCCAGGTTGCTTAATAATCACTTGAACTACCTCAGCATTTTTTGCTTTTCAATTTGTAATATTTTAAACATTTTTGCTTTTCAAATTGTATTATTATTATTAAACATTAAGGAAGTACTATTGCAAAAGAAATAGAGATTCTGGGGTGGGCACGGTGTCTCACGCCTGTAATTCCAGCATTTTGGGAGGCTAAGGTAGGAGGATTACTTGAGGCCAGGAGTTTGAGACCAGCTCAAGCAACATAGTGAGATGCCATCTCTACAAAAAAAAAAAAAAAAAAAAAAGGGATAAAAAATAAGCCGGGCATGGTGGCCTGTGCCTATAGTCTAGCTACTCTAGAGGCCAAGGTGGGAGGATTGCTTGAGCCAGGAAGTCCAAGGCTGCAGTGAGTCATGATAATGCCACTACACTCCAGCCTGGGCGACAGAGTGAGATCCTGTCTGGAAAAAAAAGAAAGAAAGAAAACAAAAACAAAAAGAAACAGAAGCTCTGCTTTGTGAATCAAATGAAAATAAACAATTTAAGTTATTCTTTACAAAGTTTTTTTGTAAAAAGCTTTGAAAGTCTGAAGATTTGAATAAGACTGAGTGCACAGATGGGGGAGGCTCCAAAGATAAGTTTGTGCTTTTGCACGTAGTGCCAAGATTACAGTGAGAATGGGGAAAGTCAGCTAACTGACAAGCAGTTGTTGAAACAAATAACTTGATCAGAACGGTGGAAGTGATATGGGCTAGGAGCAACTAAGAGAGTCATTTCAAGGTGAAATGGAAGCTTGAAAATCAGTGGGAAGCCTGGGAAGAAACTGAAAGCCGGAGTAGATAAGCATTAGGGAGGAAAACAATTTTTTGCAAGACACTCCAGACTGATTGCAGGGGAAAATGGTAGAGACCAGGGAGGAGAATTAAGAAGGAAATTGCAGTATAAGTCAAAGATGAAAAATTGTCAACATAAGTGTGAAGGTTTTTTCAATAGCAAGAAGGTACTAGTATTGAAAGGTGCCACCCAAATTGGCTCACCTCAAGGGAGCTAAGGTGACAGGGTAATGTCCTGATAACAGATGGTTTTCCTCTTCTTTTCAATAAAGTATGAAGTTGAGCTCCCTCATAGCAAGTCGACAAATATAAGGGTTTTGAAATTTACTTGCGTTTATTAGAATCAGCTATATATGCTTGTATCTTTGGATACAATCAAAGATATCTTATAAGTCTATGGCTAGAGCATTTTCTTTTGTATTTGAAAAAATAATTGCAAAGATGATAATGGGGATAAAGGTGTTGCGAGGCTGGTATTTTTCAGCTCTCCGTCCGCCTTGCCTGGAAACATGGTCAATAGCAGTTACAATCTGAGGTCTGATGAGGGAGGGACAGGATGAGATAAGATTTCTCTGAACTCGTAACTTCAAAGTAGTTTTATTTTCTTGAGTTTCAAAGACGAAAAAACTAAGATACATAGAAGTTCCATAACTCGCCTCAAACCCTATGGCAAGGCATACTGGATTGTGATTGCAGATTCTGTTTCCCTTTCTCTTTGCTTCTTTATTTCAAACTGTCCTGTGGTGTGGTCAAATAATCTTACTCTATCCACTTAAAAACACTATCAACTTAGATCATCTTCCCTGGGTTCTTGTTACTAGGAGTTGTTGATGAACCTATAGCGAACATACTTTCCTCCATTTTTGTGAATAATTTAGCACCTTACTAATAGATTTATACTTTACTATCGCTACTTTTCAAAGTGGAAATTCACTTTGAGTCTTTTACCACCTTGTCTTTATGCTTCTTTTGCTTCTGTCAATCATTTGCCCAGCCCTGTTGACTCTGCCTCTCTTCTATCTGTAACTCATGAACACTGTCACTATTGCAGTTCAAAATTAAAATTTCTTATTCAGGACTGCTTGAAGAGTCTATTAACAGTTTACTTGCCTTGAATAGTTTTCTCTCTCTAGTCCAACTTCTGCAATGCGGCCTCATGCATTTACTAAACCTCAGCTGTGGCATTTTACATTTTGAGCAACCATCAGGAGCTTTTATCTAAAAAATAAAGCTCCTTAGCCTGGCATTTAAAGCCCTCCAAAATCTTTTCTCTAACTTACCCTTTAAATATAATTTCCTTTTATGATTATCTTCCATGAACCCACCTTTCCAAGCAAAGCAAAACTTTTTCAATTGTCCATGTCAGCCTCATGTTTTCTGACACCTACCCTCTGAGGACTTTTCCTCTGCCCATCATCACTGTTCTTTGTTCTGAGAAAATTCTCTATCAAATCCATCTCCAAGTGCTACTCTTGTCCCTCCTGTGCATCTCTGAAATCCACTTCTTTCATTTTACAGCTTCTCTGCCGACTTCGGGCCCTGACATTTTCCGTGGGCCTTTTGAAGGACGTCTCTTCTCCCTCCGTCTGCACGGCTGCTGTGATGAGTTTTCTCATGTGGAAATCTGAAGCTGCACTTTCCCCACTTGGAATCTTTTTGCCTGTGTTCCATTTGCTCTCACAAGTCCTTTAGCTCAGTCTCCAAGTCATACGATGGCTTGTTTATGTCTTTCACACCAGCCTTACCTCTTGCTACACCCATTTCTCACAGCACGTACTTCTTGTTCCAAATGCACAGTGTAGTTGCTGTAACCATATGTTACAATGTTTTGACATCCTTGTAATGGGTTGCTCTTATCATGTTATATGACAATTGCTATTTTACCTGTGTAACTTTCATCCCAACGGTGTACGTGAGGCCATGCCTTATTCATATTTGTATCTCTAGCATCTAACATAGTAGGGTACAACAGATATTTATTTTTAATTTGATTGAACTGAAATAACCTCAACATATCCAGGTTCAATGGATGCTCCAAGTCTCATCCCGATGGGTAGTAGCCTTTCCCAGGGTAGTCTTTGCTGATATCCTTCTTCACCCATCACCCCCACCGGGCAAGGATCCCACCTCTCTCAGACATCCATTGTCAGTCGCACTTTTTTGACACATACAACTTGCATTTTGATGGTCGGAAGGATTCCTTTATTTCTTTCCTCTTAAATTACAAGCTCTATTAGGAGAAACTTTAGTTACTCCTATTTTCCCTATTATAACATTTAATATATGTGCTTTGCAAATACTAAAAGTGAAAGAAATATGGGTAAAATAAATGAAATGGATACATAGCTTCTTCAATACTCATTACATGGAAAATCAAAGAGATCTCTAACTTTAAGGGAACTTTGGAATAATTTATTCTAACTTCTTCGTTGTGCGCATTAGGAAATCACATTCAAAGAGGTTCTGTTACGTTTTTAAGGTCTCAGTGTGAAGAAAGGAAAAATTAGGACGAGAACCAGAGTCTCTTGATTCCAGGCAATGCTTTTACGTATTCCAATTATATTACTCTGCCTTTTCAATTATATGAGGTATCATATAAATCTGTTTGATGCTTTACATGTCAAGTAATTACTTAATTTTTTCGATGATACTTATGTAAATTATACAGATATCTTTGCTAGATAAGTATTAAAGAAACAGTATGTTTTCGATGGGGATAAATTATTTTTTAAAAGTACTGTAATAACACCCTGAAATCACACCAGTTTGAGAAAGAAGATGCAGAACTATTATAAAAGGAGATCTTCATATTAATATTCATTGTCATTTCTAAGAAAGGACCTTAAGAAGAAAACTACAAAGATATTTGCTTTTGACCTTAGAATTCATTTATAAAAGGACCACATATTCCATAGCAAATTATTTCATTTTAACATAGGACAAGTATGTGATTAGTTATACATATAAATCATAAATAATATCTATTTTGATAAAGTAATATTACATAAATAAGTCAGTTTATTAATATAGTCATCTGATTTTGGCATATCTTGCACATGTATACTGCATACCACATAAATGTCCATGATGTCCATTTATCATAATTGCCATTTTATACAGATAATTTACTTCCCTCTGTTTGAAAAACTAACAAACATTGTATATTATTTTAAAGGTTAATATTGAGGTGAAAGCAAGAACATGTCATTGTTTTGACTTCTACGAAACATCACATTCTCAGAAAGATGGAGCATGATTTCTAACTGCCTTTTAATGTTTTCTATTTAAAAGGTAAATAAGATTTGTGGCCGCCCCATAAGAACACCCACACAAAGCCCCCGTTGTTCTTTTGATCAGAGCAAAGAGAAGCATGGAATGAAGACCACTACAAGGAACAGTGAAGAGACGCTTGCCAACAGAAGAAAGTAAGACATTTGTTTTACAACCAGAAAGAGAAAAGAAAGTAAGCCATTAATTTTACAACAGAATAGAACATATTCAATTAAATAGAATAAAATGCAATATGGATGAAAAAAAAGATCAACATTCATTAACTTTAAAATTCATTGGCTCCATCTGTTCCATTAATTTGGAAGATAGGTTCAACTTATAAGACCAAGAAAAATTCCTGTGATAATGGAACATTTCAATAACATAACATGGAAGGCCATATTGGGGGCCCTGGGCACATGCGACGTCGTGCACTTAAAATATGGCCAGTGTGACTGAGGATTGAATTTTTAATCTTAGTTAATTTTAAATTGTAAATATGGTTAGTGGCTACCGTATTGGAGAGTGAAAGACAGAAAGATAATAGATTTACCTGATGTGATAGGTATTACTGAATGTTTAACATATATTTTTAAAAGTTTAATAAAAAGAAGTTTTCATACTTTTTACATGAAATGCTAAAAATGGTTATCTGTTGATTCAAAATAATAAACATCCCATAGGGTTTGCTAACTCACATTTCTACCACTATGCCCATCATTATTCCACAGGTTAAATTCAGGCCTTGTTTTGCGTTCCTTTGCTTGATAATTGATGCTTAAGAGGTAAAGCTCTTAAAACTAGAGGAAATTATTATTTGTGTGTGTGTTTAGTTGACCAGTCAGTGTATGTCCTGGCAAACACTAGATTCTAAGTCAGTACTTTTTGAATTGGACTGAAATTCAGAATTTTATATTCATTTATGAAATAATTATTTCTAATAATACTCTTCATATATAAAGTTATTTCACATAACCTTTCTGTAATCTAAAATCTGTTTCTTTCTTTTTTGGGATAGGACACCTAATTGCCACATTCTCTCATCAGATGGGCTGTAAGCATGGGATAAAGATCTGGGCTATTGCTGGCTATTTTCTACAGCTAAAAAGAATTAGTGTTTTATTTTACATGTAAAGTAGCTGTTCTTTTTATCTAAACACCTACAATGATCAGCAATCATTTCTTGCACTTGAGAAATCAGTGTATTTTGTCTAGGGTGTTTGTATAATAAAACCCAGCTACAGAAGATTGGAAGTCCTTCAAGGCGATGTATTTCACCACCAAAACAACCCAGCTGGAAAACAAAACAAAACCCAACCTTTGATATCATCTATTCACTAGCAAAACGAAACCAATGCAGGTGAAATGTTACAAACTGGCTCAAGAACAATAAGGGACTCAGACGAATGAAAGTTTTTAAAAGTATCTATCCTGGCCACTGAATAGACCTTCTTGTCACCAATCTTGCAAACTCATTATTTTGATGTCCCTGACTGTCCAGCTATGATTAGAGCCATTGTCCACGAATCAGCGTAGATCCATCACATGCTTGTCTCCTGCCACACAGAGTGAACAACCATAGGAACTGTACACGAGTCCACTTATGCATTTCAATTTTACACTATTTTTTATTTCCACTCTTTAGTGGGGCTTCATTGCCATGGCATTATATTTCTGCTTGTTGCCTATTTATTGTGCAAGTTTCTCTACAAACTAATTCTGAATTTTATGTATCCCTCATCAACTTCTTATTCCCCATGATGTTCTAAATTTCCATTGAAATAGGTGGGTCATGTAGCAGGAGTAGGTGCTGAGTCTGGGCTGCCTTTTCATGTGCCTTGTTTTTTCTCTACCTGCTTGAGCCTGATTTCCAATAGATCACTTCCATTTAGTTGTAATTACTTCTATTTAAGCCTAGTCTTACAGCCTGGCAGATCAAATAGTACTTAGTTCATCATGGCAATCTCAGGTTGCACAGTCACTTGCTAGGTCATGGCCAAGTGTGTGTTTCTACCAGGGCTCAATTGCAAAGCAACTAACCAAACAACCAACTAACCCACCCAGCCATGAAACTTCAGATACCACTGAATAAGTAAACAAGGTCATCTGGACTCACCATCAGAGCACCTTGCAAATGTGTAAGCAACAGAGCCTTTTCTTTTTCATATTAAAGCTCTTTGGGGCTATTCTGTGAATGGACTAGAGCAACACACCAAAATGTATAATATGATTTTTTTCTAGTATGTAAAGGAATCTAAAAAGCATTGTATCTCTTCCTGAGTTTTAGGTTATCTTAGGTGCAGAAATTTTCCTTTTATATAAGAACAATTTCCCAGTAACATCCAGGCCACATGTAGAAACATTGTTGAATTGTCAAGCACTTGAAATGTCAATATTTTTCACCACAGAGGCACACATATTTCTACTAAGACATTTGGGATGAAGTGATCCATATTTTATTGTCAGCATTATGTCCTGCAGGGTATCCAGACAATCAAGGCTCCTGTTTGCCATGGATTGGGAGAGTTTTTGAGGTCTAACAGTGAAGGAGTCCTTGCCAGCTAAAAGTGAATTATTTCCAATTGTCCTTACTAATTGGTAAGGAGGTAAAATAATTTGCCAAATCATTAGCTGCATAGCAGGTATCAGGACATATTTGGATTTGCCCAAGTAGTCACCACGTATAAAGGAACATCTGTAATTGGAGTCACCCTCTGACTCTGTTTATGATAAGCCAACCTTCTCCAAGTCCATCTCAGTGTGCACAGACCAGCCAAAGAGGCGAGGTAAGTAGCGAGGTGTTAGGAATCACCACCACTGTGTTTTTTCATGTTTTTGAAGTGGCCCTAATCTCAGCAATTCCACAGGTATATGATACATTTTCATTTTAGTATTTTTGTCAGGAGAGGAATTTCTTTTTTCTTATTGTGTTCAGCTCAACTTTTAGGTGGTTTATTTTATTTCTCTTTTCCTTTATTTTATTTTCCTTAAGTTCCAGGATAAAAGTGCAGAAAGTGTAGGTTTGTTAAATGGGTATATGTGTGCCAAGGTGGTTTGCTGCACCTATCATCCTGTCATCTAGGTTTTAAGCCCTGCATGCATTAGCTATTTGTCCTAATGCTCTCCCTCGCCTTGCCCCACACCCCGTGAGTGACCCTGGTGTGTGTTGTTCCCCTGCCTATGTCCATGTGTTCTCATTGTTCAATTCCCACTTAGGAGTGAGAACATGTGGTGTTTGGTTTTCTGTTCCTGTTAGTTTGCTGAGGATGATGGCTTCCAGCTTCACCCATGTCCCTGAAAAGGACATGGTATCATTCCTTTTTATGGCTGCATAGTATTCCATGGTATATATGTACCACATTTTCTTTATCTAGTCTATAATTGATGGACATTTGTATTGGTTCCATGTCTTTGCTATTGTAAATAGTGCTGCAATAAACATACGTGTGTGTGTGTGTCTTTATAGTAGAATGATTTATAATCCTTTGGGTATATACCCAGTAATGGGATTGCTGTGTCAAATGGCATTTCTCATTCTAGATCCTTGAGGAATCACTACACTGTCTTCCACAATGGTTGAACTAATTTACACTTCCACCAACCATGTAAAAGTGTTCCTATTTCTCCATAGCCTCTCCAGCATCTGTTGCTTCCTGACTTTTTAATGATCGCCATTCTGAATGGCGTGAGATGGTATCTCACTGTGGTTTTCATTTGTATTTCTCTAATGATCAGTGATGTTGAGCTTTTTTTCATATGTTTGTTGGCTGCATAAATGTCTTCTCTTGAGAAGTGTCTGTTCATATCCTTTGCCCACTTTTTGATTTTTTTTTTCTTGTAAATTTAAGTTTGCAGATTCTGGATATTAGACCTTTGTCATATGGGTGGATTGCAGAAATTTTCTCCTATTCTGTATGCTGCCTGTTCACTCTGATGATAGTTTCTTTTGCTCTGCAGATGCTCTACAGTTTAATTAGATCCCATTTGTCAATTTTGGCTTTTGTTGCAATTGCTTTGGTGTTTTTGTCATGAAGTCTTTGGCCATGCCTATGTCCTGAATGATATTGCCTAGGTTTTCTTCTAGTGTTTCTATGGTTTGGAGTTTTACATTTAAGTTTTAATCTGTCTTGAGTTAATTTTTATATGGGGTGTAAGCAAGGTGTCCAGTTTCAGTTTTCTGCATATGGCTAGCCAGTTTTCCCAACACCTTTTATTAAATAGGGAATCTTTTCCCCATTGCTTGTTTTTATCAGGTTTGGTGAAGATCAGATGGTTGTAGATTTGAGGTGTGATTTCTGAGGTCTCTACTATGTTCCATTGGTCTATATATCTGTTTTGGTACCAGTACCATGCTGTTTTGGTTGCTTGTACTATAGTTTGAGGTCAGGCAGTTTGATGCTCCCAGTTTTGCTCTTTTTGCTTAAGATTGTCTTGGCTATATGGGCTCTTTTTCGTTCCATATGAAATTTAAAGTAGTTTTTTCTAATTCTGTGAAGAATGTCAAGGGTAATTTGATGGGAATAGCATTGAATCTATAAATTACTTTGGGAAGTATGGCCATTTTCACAATTTTTGTTTTGTTTTGTTTTGTTTTTGAGATAAAGTCTCACTCTATCACCCAGGTTGGAGTGCAGTGGTGCAATCTCGGCTTACTGCAAACTCCACCTCCCAGGTTCAAGCAATTCTCCTGCCTCACCCTCCCGAGTAGCTGGGATTACAGCATGCACCACCACACCTGGCTAATTTTTGTATTTTTAGTAGAGATGGGGTCACCATGTTCGCCAGGCTGGTCTCAAACTCCTGACCTTGTGATCCGCCCACCTCAGCCTCCCAAAGTGCAGGGATTACAGGAGTGAGCCACTGGGCATGGCTTGCTATATTGATTTTTCATATCCATGAGGATGGAATGTTTTTCCATTTGTTTTTGTCCTCCCTTATTTCCTTGAGCAGTGGTGTGTAGTTCTCCTTGAAGAGGTCCTTCACATCCCACGTTAGCTGTATTCCTAGGTGTTTTATTCTCTTTGTAGCAATTGTGAATGGGATTTCATTCATGATTTTGCTCTCTCCTTGTCTATTGTTGACGTATAGGAATGCCTGTGGTTTTTGCACAATGATTTTTTTTATCCTGAGACTTTGCTGAAATGGCTTATTAGCT